TGCCTCTGGTGTTGTTCAGAGATGTTATTGAACCTGGAAAGAGTGGGACACAATTGCGTAGTTGTGCCCCGGGCCTCTGGGTCACACCTGATGGTATCCTTCGAGGTTCCTGGCCCTTGCCATCTGTGCCCGGGTTGTCTTTGCCGCCCTCTTTGGGTCTGGAGACTGGTCCTAGAGGACAAGGGCATCTGTCTCTTGGGTCAGGTCAGTTCCTGCTGGGCCCCATACACAGAGACATCGAGGGGCCAAGGGGCCTAGAATCTGGGCTGGGAGAGAACGGCTGCCGGGAAAACGGGGCTCGCGGAGGGAGGGCCGTGCGTGTCTTGGGGAGGGCAGTGGGTATCGGGGGAGGATAGTGGGTGTCTTGGGGGAGGGCTGGGCTCGCAGAGGGCAGCGGGTTTCTTGCGGGAGGGCAGTGCTCGCGGAGGGCAGCGGGTGTCTTGCGGGAGGGCAGCGGGTGTCTTGCGGGAGGGCAGTGCTCGCGGAGGGCAGCGGGTTTCTTGCGGGAGGGCAGTGCTCGCAGAGGGCAGCGGGTGTCTTGCGGGAGGGCAGTGCTCGCGGAGGGCAGCGGGTGTCTTGCGGGAGGGCAGTACTCGCGGAGGGCAGCGGGTGTCTTGCGGGAGGGCAGTACTCGCGGAGGGCAGCGGGTGTCTTGCGGGAGGGCAGCGGGTGTCTTGCGGGAGGGCAGTGCTCGCGGAGGGCAGCGGGTTTCTTGCGGGAGGGCAGTGCTTGCGGAGGGCAGCGGGTGTCTTGCGGGAGGGCAGCGGGTGTCTTGCGGGAGGGCAGCGGGTTTCTTGCGGGAGGGCAGCAGGTGTCTTGCGGGAGGGCAGCGGGTTTCTTGCGGGAGGGCAGTGCTCGCGGAGGGCTGTGGATATCTCGTGGGAGGGCAGGGCTTACGGAGAACTGTCCACCAGCATGTGGACTGTTGCTGCCACTGGGAACAGTGCTGAGGTCTTCTGTCATGCTCAGACCCCTCCAAAGTAGTGATCTGAGACTCAGCCACCTGAGTAACCCACACTGCTCCTCCGCTGACCTGGACAGCCTCTGGCCTGGAAGTTTCTGTTGCTCTCAAGGTAGTAGACTCATAGCCACATATCTGTCTACCTATTTTGTGGTGTGTGTGTCTTTCTCTCATCACTACTGCTTTTGATGTAAAATGTTATCTTCCCCACCCCTGCCCGTCCTCGGTGCCCCCCCAGGGGAGAGGGGAGGCCCAGCCTCGCCCTGGTGTAGTCAAGGTTATGGTGATAAATCCTGGGGCATTGTCACTTCTATTCGGAGTAAATTGGCTGGCCGCTTTCGGGCTGAAGGAAAGATAATTTGCTGTAGTATTTCAAATGGATTAGAAATGGATTTGAAGGGAAAGTTCATGCCTCCCATTACAAAGGCGAGAAAGAAGACTATCTTAAGGCACTGTTCCCTCCCTGGCCTTCATTATCCACGCTTAATACCTTTCCTATTTTCCAGCGTTAATGAAATTTCCTGGCGGCATGGGCCTGCCGGACGGATGGGAGAAGCCTTTAGATCTGCGGCTCCCATTGCAGAAAAGGAATTACAGAGCCGTACCGTGAGGGCAGGCCCTCGCAGGGGCCTTGGCCCGCTATTATCTCATTAATTTTATCCCCTCTTCTCTGTACAGTTCGTTTCCAAAGGCTGTCCTCTCCATTAGGGTAACAATTTACTGGAGTGCTGTGACACCCGGGGCAGGAAAAAGCTACGAGGCCTGCGCAGCCTCCTGCGGAAGATCTTCAGCTGGCAGCTGGCAGGCCTTGCCTTGAGCCATGGTGCAGAGGCCTGACGGGGCCTCCCCAGACTCTCACTCACCACCTACATCAGCACCCCAACATGCAGATTCTCCTTGTTGGCTGAAGGCCCTGAGCTCTGCAGGCATGTGCATGTGTGTGCATGTGCGTGTACATGTGGCCTGACAGCTGGCTGCTACACCTCCATCCTGTACAAGTGTACCTACTGATGTCCCATAGCCGCCACCCAAATCCAGTGGGTGGTCTTTAGGGGGTAAGAGGAGGTGACACATTGCTCTGTCCGGGAAAGAACTGAAACACAAGCCACGCCTCCCAGCTCTGTTGTCGTATATGAAATGCGGGCCTTAATGAGATGGTTTCACCCAGTGCAGGTGGCTCACGCCTGTCATCCTAGCTACTCAGGAGGCTGAGATCTGAGGACCATGGTTCAAAGCCAGCTTGGGTAGGAAAGTCTGAGACTCTCATCTTCAATTAACTGTTACCAAAAAGCAAGAAGTGGAGCTGTGGCTTGGCTCCACTGGCAGAGTGCAAGCCTTGAACACAAAAGCTCAGAAATAGTGCCCAGGCCCTGAGTTCAAGCCGCAGGACTGGCACCCCCTCCACCCCCCTCCATCCAAAAAAGAAAAATAGACTTCTACTGGGTGCCACTGGTGTCTCACATTGTACTCTTAACTACTTGGAAGGCTGAGGTTGGTAGGATCATAGTGTAAGGCTGATGTGGGCAGAAGTCTTGGAGACTTCGCCTCAGAGCAGTGAGTGGCATGTGCCTGTAGCTCTAGCTACCACAGGAGGCCTCGGATAGGACGATTGCAGCGCAGGCACATTCTTGGGCAGGAAGCAAAAATAACCAGTACAAAAAGAACTGGAGATAGAATGCCTGCCTAACAAATACAAAGCCCCAAGTTCAAACCCTAGTACACACACACACATCCCAAAACCAGGCACCCGCACCTGGTGTGTCCCCTGGAGTACCGTGTGTACGCAGGGGACTTGAGCCCTGACAGCCTGCGTGCCTTCTGGGTGGGGCCTCAGAATCGGAGATGAGCAGCGCTGGCGGCCGGCTGGCCAGCTCTGTGCCTGCCTTGGGTCACTTTAACTTGGCTCTCTTCCAGGAGCGGTGAGGCAGGCATCTCACATCAGCTCCCCAGGACGCTGCAGGAGGGTCGAAGGAGCCTCGGCGAGGCACTCTCTCATCGCTGAGTCCTTGCAGGGCCGGGCCAGGTGGATGGCCAGCACGGCCACCATGCACACTGTCCTTCGGGCTTCTGGATGAGCAGAAGCTGGGAGAGGTGTTGGGAGAGCAGAGGCAGCATGGGCCCCAGGCAGGGCTCACAAGACAGAGGCTGGGTTAGCCCGGGGCGGTGAGGGCCAGGACGGGCCTCCGGTCTCAGTTGGGGTAGCTAGGGTTGCGGGGCGGTGCTTTCCGGCCATCAGCACCTCACACTCCCAGTACTGTCCCCAGGCTGGGGGACATAGTTGTGCTGGAGGCGGCAAGGGGTCTGGGCTCAGCCCTGACTGGGGACTTGGGGTCAGGCTGAGTGCCCCTTAAGGGCCAGGGCCATCTCTGAGTATCACAGGTGGGTAGAGTCTGCCTTCTATCACATCCGCTCTGCCCAGCTGCCACCAAAGAGCAAAGAGCAAAGGCAGGGTCTCGTGAGGCTGCGGAAACCCTGGGGTCCCACGCTCTGCCACGAGCTTGGAGGTCCAAGCCGGGCTGGCTTTCCTGGCACAAGGTGTCAGGATGCCCCTCTCCTACCGAGGTGGTACCCTGTGTGGTACAGGAGCAGGGAGCAGCAGGCTGATCACAGCCCGGACCCCTGGCAGGACTCTTTGCCTTCAAGATTGGCGTTTGTGAACTTGAATTTTAATTAAGAGAAACTGGGTTAAGTGCCTTTTGCGGCCTCCCTGCCGAGCTAGTACTCACGCCGCAGCTTTGGTCCCTTGAGTGCTGGCTTGCTTCGTTCACATTATCTCACTAATGCTCCTCCAAGGCTGCTGGCTGGCAAGTTACTCCACCTTGCAGACGGGGAGACCGAGGCCCACAGGGGCTATTGTGCTGCTGGTGGGAACAGTGCAGAGCAGGCTCCTCCCAGCACCCTGCTTCTGCAGCCCTTGGTAGCAGGGTGGGCAGCACTGCTGGTGCCATGGCTAGGCCCCCATGACACTCCCTGTGCAGACAGGCAAGCAGCTCCTTGCCTGCAGCTGCTGGGCAGCCTAGGGCTAGGGGACCCCTCCTTGGCCGTGCTGGCTAGCAGTGGCTCCCCTGCAGCTGCGGACTTCTGGGAGGATACTATTTCCCTAGCCTTGCTTCCCTTGGGAGCTGAGCCATCAGGGCCGGGGAGGACAGAATGAAGGCCCCAGAGGGAGAGGGCATAGCCCTGTACCAGGCTGCGTCCATTGCCCTCTCCTCCCGCTTGAGCAGTTTGGCCAACCTTCCTGACAGTGGGAGTAGTATATGAGGCCGATGGCCAGCAAAGGCTGAGTTAATGTGGAATTAAGCTCAGTTTGCACAAGTAAGTTACTACTGAAATGCATCTGAAGGGCTGGCACTATGCCGAGCCTTCTGGGTTCAGTTGCTTGCTGGGTGCTGAGCTCCCTCCCCAAGGAACACCTGCAGGGGTCACAGAGGGGCAAGGGCTGCTGGGGGGGGGGCATGGCAGAGGGCTTTTCTTTTGCGTGGTGGCTGCAAAGGGGCCTGTCCCTAGCTTACGGTGCAGTTGGGCTTCCACGGGGAGTGTGGGTTGTGTGGCAGGATGGTGCCCAAGAAGAGGGAAGGAAGACAGCAGCAAGGGAGCCACTGGGCTCAAGGCTCACTACTCCCCTGGCCGCTAACCTGCAGCCACCTCAGCCCTCCTGGCCCTCAGACTTGAGCCAGCCCTAGCATTTCCAGACAGCTGAGTGGAGCCGGGCCTGAGTTAAGGTGGACAGAGGGAGGCCAGGATGATGGTCGCCCCTGGCAATGGCGCAGGGCAGCACTGGGAGAGAGGCCCCAAGCCCTGCCCTGCTGCCCAGAGGCAGGCGTCGGGGCAGCCACCCTGGAGGAGGGAGCCAGCCCCTCCCCAGGACCATTTGAGGGCTCGTGAGTTCCTAGCTACTCCTGGGACTCCTTGTCACAGAAGTGTCCCCGCCAGGGAGCAGGGGACCGAGGTCTCCTAGCAAGTGCTCCAACTGGGCTCTGTGTAGCCAGGCTTCGCCCATCCCTGTCCGCATCTGACGGTTGTTCTGCTGTGTTTGCAGGTCCTTGGTGCTGAATCGCCTGCGCCCAGCCCACAGCGGGGGTGGGAAGCCCCCCTCCGGCTCCCCTCGGTGGCGGAGCAGAGGCTACCGCTGCATCGGAGGGGTCCTCTACAAGGTGTCGGCCAACAAGCTCTCCAAGACCTCCGGCCGGCCGGGGGACAGCGGCAGGGGTCTCCTCCGCACAGGTGAGGCCAGGCCCTGGAGGGCGAGGGGCCCGCTGTGCGGCATGGAGCTTCAATCTGCATATGCGCAGTGTGGGCAGCTGTCTGTAGTGAGGCCTCTGGGGCAGCAGGAGCAGCGAGGGTGCTGGGGGCCTGTGGCCTGCAGTCCCCTGGGGAGGAACGGCAGCGCTGCCGCTCACATGGCTGAGCAGACCCTGATTTTCCGGGGGGGGGGGGGGCGGGCTGTGCATGCGTGTCTGTGTTCTGCTCCTGGACAAAGGATGAGCCAGGTATGGTAAACATGCCCGGGCGAGCAGACACCTGGGGCCGCGCTGCTCCTAATCGCGTTGGCAACGCCTCACCGACCACCTCAGAGGCGGCGGCCGCCACCGCCGCCACCTCCTCCTCCTCCTCCTCCTCCTCCTCCTCCTGAGCGGAGTCAGGCGAGGGGAAGGAAACGCGTTAGATGTGCCTATTGTACAAATTAACTAGAAAAGTATTTTGGTTTCAGTTCCATTTTATCCTTTCCATTGTCCATCAAAAACACAGCGACACGTGAGATTGCTGGTTATTGTGGGGTCATAGGGGTCACGGGGGCGGGGTGCCCAGGTCGGGGCAGGGTCTGGAGGACACCCCTCCCTGGGAGCCAGCCCCTCCACATCCCTGCCTAGCTGTGTTCCCGGGGCTGCTCCAGCACTAGAATTCCCAGCTAGTGTTTTCCAGGTGGGATGCACCGACATGGTTTCTGAGTCGCCGCTGGGCAGAGTCTGGTGCACCGCTCGAGAACCCGAGGCCCTGGGCCTCTGATGCCCTGTCCACCCCACCGTGGTCTCCATGTGCCCCACACCCCCAGGGCTCAGTGACCAGTGCCTTGGGTTGGGACGCAGGCTCTCTCTGGTCACTTCTGACCAGAGCCACACCCACAGGAAGTGACCGCCACCATCGTGTGACTGTGTGGCTCAGGCTGGTGCAACTTCAGCCAACACTGGGCCGACGTGATTGGTCACCAGGGCTCCTGTTCCGTCCTTCTGTGCCTGGGTCCTGATGCCCACAGGCACTGGCCTGGGCCTGGTGACCCTGAGGTGAGGCTACACCCCATGCCTGTCCCTCACTCCCTCACATCCAGGAGAGCCCTGTGGAGGAGAGCAGGGCGGGAATCTCAAGGCCCTTGCTACAGCCTTCTCTGCCAAGCCAGCACAGGCTGCCACCAAATAGAGCGACACCTGCCTGTGTCCTGCTGACCAGCTTTGGTGACTGTGGGACACCTAAGCAGAGGTGGAGCTGGCAGGGCCGCAGCTTACCTACCAAGGGCAGGAGAAGTAGTAGGTAGCTGGAAGCTCTGCTTCCTGGACACCACCTACTGGCGGTGCTCTCCCCGCCCCCACGGCCCCACCTACTGGGAGGGAGTGGCTAGATCCCAGTTGTGGACTGTTGCAAGGGCCCGCTTAGAGGAATCATAATTAAAAAACTTCCACCCCTGGTGTCAGCCAGAAAGCCCCCCCTCTGAGCCCACAAGGACAGTTACATTTGTCTCCCCTGCTCCCCTCCTTCACTGGGGAGAACATCACCAGAGGTGCCAGCCCATGCCCTGCCCTGGGGGGGGGGGTCCTTGTCCACTGCTCCAGCAGCACTTCATCCCTGCTGCCCCTCCCTGAGCTCTCTGCCACTCCTATGCTGAGCAGTCCAGGGCTTGGAGCAGCTCCTCTGACCTGGGAACGGGCCACCGAGGTTGGCTCAGCAGGGCAGGGCTGCACCCCAGACCAAGCCAGGCACTGCCACCCACTGGCTCTGGCTTGGGGGGGTATGGGGTGTCTGGCTCTGGGAGCCGGGACGCCCCTGGGGCCGGGCTGGGGAGCCAGTGTCTACTCTGGGGTGTGGAAGTGCTCTGTGGCGGGGGGGGGGGGGGGCTGTTGAGTTGAACTATTTGCACCTCCAGTTCCTCTTTCCAAGCCAGCTACTTTATGTGCATTTTTAACACTGCAGAGCATTGGGAAAGGCGCCCTCCCCTCCTGTCAGAACTCCCGCTGCGTGCCCCGTGCTGTCAGGTTTTTTTTTTTAAAGCAGAAAGTAGAAAGAGAAGACTGCCCCCGCCTACCAGGGCTGACAGGCAGCACGTGATGCCCGCGTGCCCCAGCCGGGAGCAGATGGTGCCAGTGTCACCCGCCGCCGGGCGACAGCCGGGGAGCCAGGGCTCATTGACAGGCTATCGCGTTGCGTGTCCGCACTGCAAGGCTGGCAGGTGCAGGGGCATCTGCCACCTGGACAGGGCTTCGCTGCAGCCCTCCGGACAGGTGTTCTCAGCTGGGAGCACAGACCACTCGGACCTCCTTCCTAGATGCCCCCCGCAGGCCCTGTGCCCCTCCCTGCCTCACACTTCCCTCTGTCCTCCCCACCGAGAGGCCCCGTTCCCAGCCCCCTTGTGCTCCCAGGGCCTTGCCACAGAGGCCCCCCTTCCTGCTAGGTGTCCAGCCACTCAGCGCTGGAGCTCCTTTCAAACTTGACACGGGGCTTCAGCCAGGGGCTGCAGAAGGGCAGTGCCAGCCACCCACCCTGCTCAGGTCGGAGAACCCACGGAGTCCACACAGCAGGCCGGCTCTTCCTGATGGGCCTGACCCTGTGCCGGGCCCCATGTTTATAAGGTGCTAAGAGTCTAAGTATAGTGCACCCCTGGCCCCTTCCCCTGCCCAGAGGGCATGAGGAGAGTGTGGGAGCTCTCAAGATCAAGTAGCTGCCGGACACCTGGGGAGCGGGAGGGCCTGGCCCGGCCTGTGGGCTCAGAGGTCTGCGTTTGGACAGGCGTGGCCTGCAGAGGAAAGGCCACACAGGTTGAAGGGGGACGAGTCGTGGAGGCCTTAGTGTGAGCTTGGAGTGTTGCTGTAGTAATCCTCCAACCTACATCAGAGCGCAGACAGAGAGCCGGGCTGGCTGCACTTTAGAACATCCCTTTTCTAAAGCTGGATGGCTTCATCATTACCTCGGCTCCTTGGAATTTCTGAGTGATGTCATCCCTGCCTCCTAGTGCCCTATCTATTTCAGCAGCTGCTCCGCAGGAAACTGGATCTGGTGTGGGAAGGGTCATGTGCGTATTTGAGGAACCCAGGAAAGCCGTCCCGAGAAGGCTGCCTGTGACCCTGGGGCTAGCCTGCCTTTAAAAGGCACGCCTGTAATCCTAGCTGCTCAGGAGACCAAGACCTAAGGATGGTAGTTCTAAGCCAGCCCAGGCAGGAAGGCCTGTGAGCCTCTGATCTCCAATTAGCCAGCAAAAAGCCTGAAGTAAAGCTGTGTCTCAAGTGGTAGAGTGCTAGCCTTGGGCAAAAAAAAAAAAAACTCAGGGACAGTGCCCAGCCCCTGAGTTCAAGACCCAGCATGCGCACACCCACACACATGCACACATGTACTCACACACTCACACACACAAACAGTGAACCGGGAGCAGGTGGCTCACACTTACAATCCTAGCCTAGCAGTTCAAGAGGCTGAAATGTAGAGAATCAAAATGTGAAGCCACCAGCCTACTCAGAAAAGTCCTGGAGGCTCCATCTCCAGTTAACCTGCAAAAAGCTGGGCTGGAAGCATGGCCCAAGTGGTAGCATGCCAGCTGTGAGCAAGGAAGCCCATCAAGAGTGTAAGGCCCTGAGTTCAAACCAAAGGACTAGGAGGAAAACAAAAAGGCAAGCCTCCTGAGAGTCTGGGACTCCCGTGGGTGCCCTTCCTCCCAACCCTGGGAGCCCATCCCGCCTGCCCTCCCCCTCAGGTGGCTGAGGCCTGCCTGGGAGCCCATCCTCTGAATCCCAGGGAGCCCCGGCCTGTGTCCCGGGCTGCGCTCCTGCACCCAGGGCCACAGTCATGGCCAGCGCCGCCCGCGCTCGCTCCCACATCTCATCCGGGCTGTCGTTTGTAAGATGTTGTTGTCTTGGTCTTCTTTTCTTTTTTGAACTCGCACCTCTGCCCTCTGAGTAGCTGGGATTAGGCGGAGCTGCTATACTCAGCTGATTCACAACCGTTCAAAACCCTGAAACCATTCCTCCTACACCGCCAGACCACGTGTGGCCACGCTCTCCCTGTTGGGCCTCCCTTATGCGCTGACAGGGGGAGGGCCACCAGTCGCCTGGTGACTTCCTGGATGGCCAGGCAGAGAACAGAGCCTGGAGCTGTGTCCCCAGGCTGAGGGCCTGTTCCCTGAGCCACCTGGCTGCCAGGGTGGACAGGGTCAGTCAGCACCAAGTGTGGTCTTGGGGACCAGCAGGCCACTTCAGCCCTTGGTCCAAGCAGTCCATCCCCTGGTATGCTGGCTCTGAAGACACCCTGAGTCTGGCCACCCAGAGGGCGTGGCTGTGGAGGGAGGGCCCTGGAGGAGGCCTGAGCTGAGTGCTGGGGATCTCCAGGGCCTTGCAGAGGGCTGTGGCCTGATGCCTGTCTCTTGCCGCAGGCCGCGTGGACACTGCTAGCAGCTGCAGCCGTTCGCTTGCCAGGTGAGTCCCCGGAGGTGGGCGGGTAGGGGCTCCTGGCTTGCCCTCAGGCCCACGAACCTCTCCCCGTGTCCAGCCGGGCTGTCCAGCGCAGCCTGGCCATCATCCGCCAGGCGAAGCAGAAGAAGAAAAAGAGAGAGTACTGCATGTATTACAACCGCTTCGGCAGGTGCAACCGCGGAGAGCACTGCCCCTACATCCACGACCCGGAGAAGGTGGCTGTGTGCACCAGGTACTAACCCTAACCCTAACCCTAACCCTAACCCTAACCCTAACCCTTCGTCCCCCAGCAACTTGGGGGTCTTTGTAGGCCCTCTCCCTTCCCTGCCCGCCTCAAACCCTGTGCCCTGTGCTGCAGGTTTCTCCGTGGCACGTGCAAGAAGACGGATGGGACCTGCCCTTTCTCCCACCACGTGTCCAAGGAGAAGGTGAGGTGGCCCCACCCCAGGTCCTGCGGGGAGCTGTGACCCTGTGCCCACTCCTCCCCCATGTGGGGGTTGTGCCCTAGCTCTGTCTTCCCTGGCTCCAAGACAGCCCCTAGCTGGGGCGCACATATGAGACAGCTCCCTTCCCCAGGCCCTGCAGACAGGCCAGACTCCTCTCCACGTCCACTACATACACCAGAGGTGGCCCCGTGGTGCCAGTGGGGTAGGGGTAAGCCTCCCCTGTCTCTCTAGGCACGGGCATCCTGAGAGTCCTGAGGAAGGCCAGAGGCCTCCGTGGGCAGAGGGGGTCAGAGAGGAGAGCTGTGGTGGGTGTCACTGTCCCCACGGGCTGAGAGAGCACCCCATAGGCCAAGGCCACATGGAGCCTGGACCAGAGAGCAGGTAGCCCGGCCCCGTGGCCCAGGCCCACCCATGGCCCCGAGGAGCCTCCTGGGGTGCTGGGAAGGGCAGGGTCGGCGTGAGGGGGCCACGCTGCTGTTCTGACAGCTTTTCCCCTTGAGGAGCTTGGAGAGAATCAGCATTTTTCTCCCTAATCGAGCTTCGAAACTCTGTCGTGAGCAATTTGGAAATTCACGTCGAGTTTCGGGTTCATTAAGCTCCAGCTCCAAAGCGGGCACGCGCTCCAAGCTGTCTAATGTGGGCCGCACCAGCGCCCTGAGTTAATGTTATTGTTATTTGTGTGGACGTGGTGGGGTGCAAACAAGGTTAATTGAAATGAGAACGCAGTTTCCTCTTGGTAACGGCCCCGCGCTGACAGCCAGGAGGAGTGCCGTTTGGTGCAAGAGTTGGCTTTATTATCCCTTTTTATTAGAGCTAATTTGGGCTCTATATCAAAAACCACATTAAGGGAATTGTCTACAGCCGTACCACCGCCAGCCCCAATCGGGCCCCAGCCCTCCTTCCCTCTGCGGCTGCAGTTAAAAGACAATTAAACATAAACTCTTGCTCAGTAAATCACCCTTTGTTTCTTTGATTTCTCCCTCCTTCCCACTCCACGCCAGGGCTACTGCCCTGCTCTTCCAGCCTCAGCGAGGTTTGGTTCGGCCTTTCTCTCCCCACCCGACCCCAGAACCCGGACTTCTCTACGCCTCTCTGGGGTGGGGGCTGGACCCGGGGGCCCTTGGGCCCTGGTGTGTTTTTGAGTGTGAGCAGCGCTCAGGGATTGCAGGGAGAAAGAAAGACATGACCACCTGGAGTCCTGACTTGGGGCCAGTGGGAAGGGACGCTAGAGGAGACCCGCAGGGTCCCTGCGGGCAGCGGTGGCACTGCTCCAGCCCACAGCTGGTGGCTGGCTCACGGGAGGAGTAGGGGAGAGGCTCCCTGGAAGGGTAGAGACACACCCTCTTCTGGGTGCCCCAGGTGCTGTGCCTGGATTCTGCCCTATGCCTAGAACTGGGCAGCCGAGTCTCAGCCTCCAGCCGCTGAGACCACAGGCCTGCACCCGGCCTGGCCAGCTGGCGCTTCCACCTGTAGAGCAGCTGCTGGTGCGGGTACCGGCCGGGCTCACCCCCACCCCCGCCCTGCTCCCCACAGATGCCTGTGTGCTCCTACTTCCTGAAGGGAATCTGCAACAACAGCAACTGCCCCTACAGCCACGTGTACGTGTCCCGCAAGGCCGAGGTCTGCAAGGACTTCCTCAAAGGCTACTGCCCGCTGGGCACCAAGGTGAGCGCCTCAGGTGGGCCTGTGACTCCCCTCAGGTGCCCTTAGCCCCTCTGGTGTCTGCTCCTGCGGCCCTTTGCGGGATGGCGTCCACCTCACTGGAGACTCGGGTCCAGCTGCCAACCGTGGGCCTGGTGCGGGGGGGGGGGGGGGGAGGGCGGGTCTGAGATGGTTATTGCTGGGTGCCCACCCTGTGCCCTGCTCCAGGCAGGTGAGGTGCCTGCCCGGCTGCCCGGGCAGCTAAGGAAGGCCCCCTGCCGGGCGGGGGTGAAACTGCCCCGACTTAGCAAGGTCCCCCCCCCCCCCCCCGTGCACCCTGACCCTCCCACTGTGGGGCCCACCAGGGGGTTCTGCAGCCCCGGTAGAGTGGGGCCGAGCCTGAGCCGGGCCCCTCAGCACCTGAGAAGGCTATGGCTGCTCAGCCTGCGTCAGGCCCACAGTGGCTTTGCCTCCGAGGTGACAGGCTGCAGACACCGGGGAGGGTGAGCTCAGAGCTAGCCCTCCTCACACAGCCCTCCCGCTCCGGTGGGGGACAGCTGCTGCTGCTGTGTCCCGCCCGCCCCACCGTCCCGGCCCCCCCCCCCCCCCCCGCCCCACGCAGCCCTCGGCAGTGGGTTGAGCCTGCAGGGTGTCCCGCCCGCCCCACCGTCCCGGCCTCCCCCCCCCCACGCAGCCCTCGGCAGTGGGTTGAGCCTGCGGGGTGTCCCTACCGCCCCCCCCCCACGGCGCAACCCTCGGCAGTGGGTTGAGCCTGCAGGGTGTCCCGCCCGCCCCACCGTCCCGGCCCCCCCCCCCCACGCAGCCCTCGGCAGTGGGTTGAGCCTGCGGGGTGTCCTGACCACCCCCCTTCCAGCTCTGCCACCCGGGAATGGGGCTGGCCCATCAGCACGACTGTGGGAGGCTGGCAGTGAGGTCTGGCTGGCCGGCCAGGCACTTGGAGGGGCACTGGAGGCTGGCAGGCAGGCACCAACGGGTTGGTGAAGCCTGGCGGGGGCAGTCAGGTGCAGACAGAGCAGGACCCCACTGAGCTGACCAACGATTAGTGTAAAATGTTCCAACTTCAATGAAAATATCAAGACGATGTTTAAGTCGTGCTTCTATTAGAGAGGAAGTGCTTACTGCGTCCCTTTCGGCGCGCGCGCGGTGTCAGCGGCGTCGCTGGCGCATGATGGATGGCGGCTTGTAATTATATATGGGAAAGCGCTGAGCAGGCCAGATCAGCACGAGGGAGGCAGCAGCCTGGGCCTGCGAGGGTTAATTTTATTCTCTAAATAATATAAAAAGTGCTGAGTCGTCAGCTTGCGCCTGAAGTGGAAGTCCTCAAATGGGCCCCAGAGAGTTTATAATATTCCACTGAATCAAGTGAAATTGTTAACCTTGCTTCATAAAGCCATGGCTTGTTAAAGAGGCGCATTCCCTTTTCTGTTGAATAATTTAGGTTGGGAGTAAATCTCCACTCCTCCCCGGTCTTACCTCTTCCCCACAGTGGCGACTCAGAGGTCAGCGCGGGGCAGGCCGGGCCGGGCCGGGCCACCCCACCCCTCCTGGGCCTGACTGGGCCTGAGGCCGATGCCAGGCTGGCCAGGTGTTTCCTGGGGATAGTGCTCTCCCTAGGGGTCTCAGGGGTGGCACCGAGTGTGCACGATATTGGCCTTCCTTGGATCCCTGCGCCCGGTGGGTAGAACTGTGCCGGCCACGCCCTTCCACTCTTCCCCCTCCCTGGGGGCACCACTCCATAGGTGCCCGAGTGTATTCTGCTGTGTTGAAACCTGATGCTCAGCCCTCCTCTTCCCCTTCCTGTTGCTCAGGCCCCTCCCTACCCTTTCCCAAGAGCTGGGGCCTCCGCCCAGCTCCTGTGCGGCTCCGCCCCTTCCTGCACCTCCTCTCCCTGCCTCCTCGCACGCATGGCCTCTGCCAGGGCCCTTCCTTCAGCCGATGTCCTCGTTTTTGTGGGGTGCACAGTCCTTCCATTGCTCCCGTGGTTGGAGTACTGTGGTCTGTTGCGGGGCTTTCTATCCACAGAGAGCACTGTGTCGGCTGCTACTGGCTTCACCGGCTGTGGCCGGGGCCCTGGGTGCTGAGGTGCCAGCCACCTGCACAGGCCATGCCAGCACTGGGCTCAGCTTGAGACGGAGGCAGAGCCAGACTGCCCGTCCTCCCCAGGCCAACGCTGACAGCAGGGCCCGGGGATTCGCACTTCTTCTTGTAGTCAGCCCATCCCCCAGAAGTGCTCCGACCTGTGACCTGTGCCGTCACCTGCCCGACTCAGGGCTTTGCCCCAACCTGCAACATCGCCCTCCTATCTCGGGGCTTCGGTGGGTTTTGGCCTCAGTGCTAGAGACTGGGCCTCGGTCTTCACACATTAGAAAGCATTTTATCCTAAGTTACTATTTTTACTTTTACTGTGGGTCAGGCTGAGGACATAGTGGTAGAACACTTTTGTTACTTACTTAACAAAAACTGCATTTTAATCATTTTTATTAGCATACATTCCTTTGATTTCATGACATTCCCACATGTCCCACTTGACCTTCACCCCCCCATCCCCCATCGCTCTCCCTCACCCCTCTCCCTTCCTTTTTTTTTTTTTTTTTTGCCCATCCTAGGGCTGGACTTCAGGGCCTGGGCGCTGTCCCTGAGCCTCTCTGTGCTCTACTACTTGAGCCGCAGCACCACTTCTGGCCTTTTCTGTGTATGTGGTGCTGAGGACTGGAACCCGGGGCCTCATGCATGCGAGGCGAGCGCTCTACCACGGAGCCCCTGCCCATCCCCTCTCGGCATCGTTTCAACAGGCTTTACCCTTCTCTCAACCATGCTCATTCTCTCACCTGTGGGCCCAGCTGCCTTTGCCAGCGCTGCCCCAGCACAGCCTTCCTCACCTTCCTCTGCTGGTCAGTAGCTTTTTTTGAGGTTCCTGATGGTGTTTTAAGTGGTCTCAAAATTATTTACCTCCATCTTCCCTTTTCCCTTCTCTTTTTCCTTTTAAGTAGTCCTTTAGCTCTTTATCTATACATATAAAGTATGTACATATATAGCTATATATATATATATATATATATATATGTGAGTTTTATATATATATACACACACCTGCACATAGACCTGTATACACACATGGATAAACATAACAAAATATGCCATTATAGTCGATTGTGTGCTGGTCTTGCAGCCAAAACTCAGGGCCTGGGTGCTTGCTAGCGCTCTACCGCTTGAGCCACAGCTCAGAAGGCCATAGCAGTTTACTGGTTAACTGGAGCTAAGAGTCACACAGACTTTTCTGCCTAGGCTGGCTTTACCACAATGTTCAGATCCCAGCCTTTTGAGTAGCTAGTGCTATGCTGAGTAGAGGTGGCAGAAATGGGTGTCCTTGTCTTGTTTCTCATCTTAGAAGAAGCTCTTGTTTTTGTCATTGAACATCTTAGCTTTGAGGTTTTCATATGTGATGTTCATGTGTTAAAGTTTTTGTTTGTTTGTTTTTGTTTTTGTTTTGTCGGTTGTGGGGCTTGAACTCTGGGCCTGGACGCTGTCCCTCAGCTCTTCAACTCAAGGCAAGTGCTCTACCGCTTGAGCCACAGCGCTGCTTCCAGTTTTCTGGTGGTTTATTGGAGATAAGAGTCTCACGGACTTTCCTGCCCAGGCTGGCTTTGAACCTCAGATCTCAGCCTCCTGAGTAGCTAGGATGACAGGTGTGAGCCACCGCGCCCGGCTCCTGTCTGTTTCATTAAAGGTTTGTCAGTTTTACTGATGTTTTCAAAACAGTTCTGTTGCATTGATTTTTCTTTTTCTTTTTCTTTTTCTGCTGGTCCTGGGGCTTTAATCTCAGGGCCTGGATGCTGTCTCTGAACTTTTTTTTTTTCTTTCCCTGCTCAAGTTTAGTGCTCTGCCCCTTAAGCCACAGCTTAAGTGAGCCTAAAGCTTTTTGGTAGTTTATTAAAGGTAAAGGGTCCCACAGACTTTCCTGCCTGTGCTAGCTTTGAACTGCACTCCTCGGATCTCAGCCTTCTGAGTAGCTGGAATTACAGACATGGACCACCAGCACCTGCTCTGTAGCTTTCTTAATGGTTGCCCTGGATACTATATTATGTATTCATAATTTTTGAAATCTACTGATATTAGCATTTTACCAATTTGATTGAAGTATAGGCATTTGCCTTCCTTTATGTTCACTTAAACCATCAAACATAATTTTAGGAAACAAGAAGAGACAAAGTAGTTTCTTTGCATGTCTGAAAACAGACCAGTGAAACCTGTGGAGTGGTTTTTAGAAGGGGGAGTAGTGAGTGACACGGGAGGCTTACCGGGCACATTGTGTAGAAACATTTAAGTGAAGCACCTTGTCCACTACTAATGTGTGCTAACAAAGAAATAAAAATGGCTCACACCTGTAATCCCAGCTACTCAGGAAGCTGAGATCTGAGGATTGCAGTTCAAAGCCAGCCCAGGCAGGAAAGTCCATGAGACTTGTATCTCCAGTAAACCACCAAAAAACCAGAAGTGGCGCTGTGGCTCAAGTGGTAGAGCACTTGCCTTGAGCTGAAGAGCTGAGGGACAGTGTCCAGGCCTGGAGTTCAAGCTCCATGCCCAACAAAAAATAATGCTCGACTAAAGGCTTGACTCAAGTGATAGAGTGCCAACAATGAACAAAAAAGCTGAGCAAGAGTGCAAGGCCTTGAGTTCAAGCTCTTGTTCTAGTGTACATGCATGAGCACACAAACACACACACACACATACTAAAAATAAAAATAACGCTGGGCACCAATGGCCCACTCCTGTAATCCTAGCTACTCAGGAAACTAAAATTTGAGGCTCATGGTTTGAAGCCAACCTGGCAGGAAAAGACTGTGAGACTCTTATCTCCAATTAACCACAAAATGCTAGAAGTGGAGCTGTAGCTCAAGTGGTAGAATGCTAGCCTTGAGCAAAAGAGCTCAGGGATAGCACCTAGGCCCTGAGTTCATGCCCCAGTACCAGCACAAGAAAATTAGTTAAATCTGTAAAAAACA